CGAAACTTGATTTAAATGCTTCTGATCGGCAATCTACAAGCTAGTACATTCAAATCTGAACCAAACCAAACAAAGTTCAAACTGACCTCATTGCAAGAGAAGCAGTCGTGGACTTCAAGAACGTTAACATCATAAGGAGTGAGCCCTGATGATCTGTAGCAGTCAGCGGCAGCTTTACGAGCCATCGCCACACCTGCCAGGTCCAGAAAACTGTGTTCAAACGAAGATGGGAGGTCTGTGACCATCTGCTGAGCAACGATCTCAACAGCTTTGTTCTGAAGACAAAGAAAGCTAAAGTTTAAGGTTCAAGGTCTGCATAGGAGGCTGGAGATACACATCAGTCTGGAGTTTATCCCGGTTGCTATAACATGAAGCGACTAGGAGTATTTCTACTCCCCCCTGGATGGGATGCTAGTCCATCACAGGGTTACCCCCAGCATTAAGTTCACTGGTATCCATTTATGAGGGTCGTACAGGGGGGTCTCTCGCACGGTTCACGAACGGAAAAAAATGGAGGTTCACGGATCACGGATATAAAAGATTTCGTTTTCCCGAATCACGAAAATAAGCAAGGAAGATATTCTTGTTCTTACACTAGAAAAAGTGTTTGAAGACAGCAAAATCGTGAAAGGCTAAGTCAAGGCTCCATACCTAAGTCACTCTCGATAGACGACTCTAACGATTCGGAAGACTCGCGTCTCAAAATCACGTAGAATAGAGAGGTGAAATCACGAATATCGGTTAATAATTCAAGTTCTTCACGGGTCACGGAAAACCTTTAGGTCACGGATCACGAAGAGTAATTTCCTAAATTCACGTTTCACGGAAAATAAAATCAGCTAATCACGCATCACGAGAATACCCCTGTACGACCCTCATTTATACACCTGGGTGAAGAGAGGCAATGTGAGAGTAAAGTGTCTTGCCCAAGAACACAACACAATGTCGCCGGCCAGGGCTTGAACCCAGACCGCTCAATCTGGAGTCGAGTGCACAGTTTAGCCAAGCTTTAAATTTACATCAGCTTGTATTAAGAAAATTATCATTAGATCATTTCAAAAAACACCCTTCACACATCTCAATCTTATAGGATTACCTAAATTTGTGCCTGGCTTCAAAATGTCTGCTGTTAGTTCTTTGTTCTGTTATATTTGTACATATATTGATTTTTTTAAAATATCACAGGTGACCAAAACGCACATGTCCTATGAGAGTTTGTTCGGAACTCAATAGTGCATGTAGTTTGTGTGAATCTGAAAATGAATGGTCCAAAATTGCTCAAACAGACTGTCTGCACAACCAAAAACCTCTACGCCTCCTTTATTGCCCTTTTATCTCCCTATCTCCCCCCAAGCAACCTTCCCTCTGCCCCCTGCAAAAAAATAGCACCCATTCCTACCTCAACAAAGTTTTGCAGGAAACTTATTTCTAGTTGATATTCCTTAAAAAAACAACAACAACAACACTCTATCACTGACAACAAACCTGCATTTGGTAAGACTTCATAAATTCTTTTGAACACACAACAGCAGCAGCCGAGCCATCTGCCGTGGGAGCAGACATGGCAAAAGTGATGGGTTTGCAGATCATTTTTGAGTGAGTGATGCCTTTGAAGGGAATCTCCTTTCTCAGACACGCATTCGGGTTATGAACACTGTGCTTGTGATTTTTGTACGAGATCTTAGCACACTGTTCAAACGTACTTCCATACTTCTTGCTGTGCTCCTGTGCTGCATAAGCAAACAGCTGAAAGTGAATGGCACAATGAGAAATTAAATATGCCTTAAATAATTTATCTGTACCAAACTCCCTCTCTCTAACAAGCCCCTCAATATACCTTCTATATATTATATGTAGCTTCATGGCCCAATTAAAGCTCTTAACCAGAAATTGAACAGCAGGTCATGATAGATCGATAGACATTTTCCACTGAACTGTCACATCCATGGCTGCCCTTGAAACATTTCCTTAACCCACCCTTAGCTAGAAAATGTTTCACTAATTAAAATTCCTAGGAATTACTGCACACATTTTTCTCCTGAAAGTAAGCAGTGACTGTATAAAGGAAATTTGTCCTTGAAAAATCCCAAGAGGGTGACCTTTCATATACATTCAGAAACCCCAAAAATATGCGTATTAAATATCTAACCCTTGACAATAAATAATAATTATTTTAACATTCTCTCACCTTAACAACATCAGAGGTCATAGTGTTTAACTGTGGGTTGATAAGACCCGGTGCAGCGCCGATAGCTACCATGTGATCCATGTGCCGTTTAACAGGAGATTCTCGGTCATGGTACTTTTCAGACAGACCTCGTTCCATCTTCTCAAACCCTACGTAAAACATAAACACCTTTCTTTTTGGATCCATTTTAAGATTTTGTTCCACATCTTTTAAAAAAAGGCAGAGAGGAACAAGAAGATGATACTGCATCATAAATAGTATAAAAGGACTTAAATCTGCATGCAGGAGTAGTCTGTTGAATCCCCTTTTTGTTAAATTCCCTAATTTCTCATCCCCATTGTTGACATCATTGGCATCTTCAGTTAAATGTATCATTCAGGGATGTCATTAAGTTTTGAGTCAACTGTAGCCTTAATCTTCACACCTGTAACAAACTTGTTACCCTTTAAGTGATTCATATCAACAATAGTCCAGTTCACCCATAACATCAAGGGTCCATTAAACATACTCAGCCATGGCAGGTGTTACGGGTTACGGCCCTTATTGACA